TTTATCATTTTCTGGTTTTTTTGTTCCTGGTCTGGCCCTCAATTCTTTTTTTTGGTTTTTTTTTTCCCCTAGTTTGGTTTTAATTGAGCATTTCACAGTTTCATGTTCCTCTTTCTTATTGGATTAGCTGTTACTCTTGTTTTACATTTTTTAGTGGTTGCCCTAATATTTGCAGTGCACATCTAGAACTATCCAAGTCCACTTTCATATGACAGACATTACACTGCTTCATAGTCAATATAAGTACTTTATAATAAAATAATCTTAGTTCCTTCTATCCCTAAACGATTGATTTCATTCATTTCCCCTATACATAAGCTTACGTATGTGTTTATGTGAACCATAAATGAATATACTGTTGGTATTATTTTTTGACAGACTTATGTTAGATAAACTAAAAATAAGAAAAATAAAAGCTTGTTTTACTTTCACTTATTTCTTCTGCAGTGCTCTTTCTTTCTTTATGTAGAGCCAAGTTTCAGAACTGTATTATTTTCTTTCTTTTTATGGAACTTCTTTTAACAGTTCTTACAAGTCTAATCTATGGGCAACACATTCTCTTAATTTTTGTGTGTCTGAGAAAGTCTTCTCTTCTTTTGAAGGATAATAATTTAATTTCACAGGAGACAGAACTCTAGGTTGGTGGAGTTTGTTTCTCAAGTTCTAGATATCTCATTGTACTTGCTTCTTGCTTATTTGGCTTCTAAGGAGTCAGATGAAATTCTTTGCTCTCCATGGGTTGAGATATTGCCCCTCCTTCTTTCAGGAATGTTTGATTTTTTTTTTTTTTTTTTGAAAATGATATGACTAGATTTAGGTATTTTAGCATTTATTCTATTTAGTGTTTTTTGAACTTCTTGAAATTGTTCTTCAGTGTGATAATAATTTGGGGGAAATTCTCATAATTGTGTCAACTTTTTCTCCTGTTTCTTTCTTCTTCTGGTATTCCCGTTGCTTGTTATACCTTTTGTTGTCTCCCTGTTCTTGGATATTTTGTTTGGGGTTTTTGTTTTTCCAGCCTTTTTTTTCTCACTTTCCTTTTCAATTTTAGAGGTTTCCACTGAGACATACTTAGACATTCTTTCCTCATCTGTGTGTAGTCTACTAATGAGCTCATCAAAGGAATTCTTCATTTCTTTTGCAGTAGGTTTGTTCTCTAGCATTTCTTTTTCCTTTGTTTTGTTGTTTTTATGAAGCAAGGTCTTTCTACATAGCCCAGGCTGGCCTCGCACTCGTTATCCTTCTGCCTTGGTTTCCTAAATGATGGGATTATAGGCATGTGCCAGCATACTCTAATTTAGCGTTTCTTTCAGTTTCTTCTTAGACTTTCGCATTTTTCTCCTTGCATTGCCCTTCTGCTTGCTAGAGGGGCCTGGAGTTGGATATTTCTCTTCAGTTAGAAGCAGATAGAATCCTAGCAGGTTAGGCTTTAGTTAAATAGATTTTCCTGAAGGCAGAGTGATCTGGTATATTTAAAAATGAATCCTTTTGCCCCTACTGCCAGAAACACAGGGAATTTTTCTTTTATATTCATTATGCAGTAGAGCTGCAGGCAGTAAAACTCACAAAGGTGTTTCCTCTCTCCATCCACGCTACCCTTTGTGCCTGGGTCCCCTTGAAGTTTGTATGATCAGTATGCACTGAGCTCTAGCGGTTTCCCATCACGTTCTAGGTTTTTCTACCCTGCACTGGTTTTATAGAGGTTTTTACTTCTGGGCCATTGCTCCAGTAAGTTGTGATTCTCTGTTTTCACCTGGCTAGTGGTCCAGTTTGGGGGTCAGTGGCTTGCTCCTATCACCTTACTTCTCAGAGATCTAAAAAGAGTTAATTTTTTTCAATTTGTTCAGCTTGTTCTTTGTTAGGATGGAATGGTGACTTTGAGTTTCTTACATGGCAGACTAGAAACCAAAAATCTAATTTTTAGTTTAAAACTAGAAAAAAATTACAACTAGAACATAATTCAGATTCTAATAGAAAGAATGAGGAAAAGAATTGATAAGCCAGAAAACTATATATCAAATAAAAAAACAAGTTACCATTTCCAAAAAATAGTAAGATGTGCATACTTCTAAGCAGGACAGAGTTCCAACAGCTCAAGTCTAGCACTGCGGATATCAGGGTGCTGCCTCAGCATGTGTATGAAGGTAGGCAATCTAGCTGTAATCCTTCTGTGGAGGGTTGGTTTGTTTCTCCTCCCATTTGAAATTTGCAAACTAAACTCTGAAATACTGGGCTGAAAGGTAGAAGGAAAAAGTGGTTTTAAGCTTCTTTCCATTGTGATGGAGTATTCATCTAGTAAGAACCAAAGTGCCTGTTGATGGTACGTTGTTCTGAGTTGGCATGCACTCCTGTTTCAGTTCAGTACAAAAGGCTGCCGTGGCATCTCCAGGCTTAGCTTCTGAAGGGGCTGGAAATGTGGGGTGTTTTTCAGCAAAGACATCACTCTGCCTGTACCTTTACTGCTTTTGTTCACAGTCTTGCTATGTTACACCTGAAGTGGTATGTGAAGCTAATGAGGCTAGTGTAAACATGGAAGGTCAGTTTTATCCTGCTGATTTATTTTATTCATTTAGAAAGTAGTTCAGGTTGTTAAAGGAAGTTGCTCAAGATTGTACAGCTAGTGAATAAAAAGGCTGGAAATTTTTTTCTTGGTACTGATTCCAAAGATAATGATTTGATATGGTGCTTAGAGAATTTTGTTTTGTTTTGTTTGTTTGGGTTTTTTGGAGGATTTTTTTTCAAATAGCAGAACAGTTATGAAAATGTGCTGTTTGTACCTACAAAGCTGACATTACTGACTCCGCAACCATTCATCAGAGGAGTATATAACTAAAAGTATTTTCCTAATAGAGGAAAATGGGTCTGCAGTGAACTTTCCACTTTCTCTTTGCTGTTTCTGTAGTGGCCAGGCCATCTGAAAGGCTTTACTATTGTGACATTGAGGTAAGCTTATCTCAGGACTACTCTGTGTAAAGTATTAGCAGTTTAGTGTGTACAACTAACTGTATCCATATTTATTTTTAAAAAAAACTGCTGAGTGTGGTGCTGCATGCTTGTAATCCCAGCACTTGGGAGGCTGAAGCAAGAGGATCACCATGAGTTCGAGGCCAGCCTGGGTTACATAAGTGAGCTCAAGGCGAGCCTGCACTACATAGCAAGACCCTGTCTCAACAAAACAACAACAACAAAAATGATGGTACGGTGTGATGGTTACTGGTAGGGGAACTGCTGGTGGTCAAAACTGCCTGAAGTAGATCATTTCTTCATTGTCATAGCAGTGGTAGTGGACAGCACAAAGGCTAAACAAAAATCTTTAACAGAGATTAAAGCCAAGTTTAGGGCCACACATCTGTAATCCCATCTACTAGTGAGGCTGAACCACAAGGATTGCAAGTTGCAAGCCAGCCTGGGTGAGATTCTGTCTCAAAATAAAATTTAATAAAAGGGCCAGGGGCATAATTCATTGGTAGAGTGTTTGCCAGCATGCATGAAGACCTTTGTTCAATCCCCTGTACCAAAAATGACACAAAAAGAGTCATGTGTGTTCTGCTTTCTGACTGAGCTCATCTCATGTAATTTAGAAGGCAAACTAAATGGGCCCCATGGTATATTAGGGATCAATTTCAGTCTTTTACAGTTTCCACTTATTGAAAGTGACCGGAGACATCTGTTTATTAACTCATTTGTTCATTGATATGTTTCTCAGCATCCTGTTCCTTACCTTCACTACCCTCTGTTTAAGTATTTTTAATATATATTCTTTAGCCCAAATTGATAATCAGATGATATTAATGTTCCAGTTTGAGGAAAGGGGAAGTTATATATAGCCTTAAAATAAAATGTTCATTAAGTCATGCTTTTAAGCTCCCCAAGGAAGTCCTGGTAATTATAATGCAGCTTTACTGTGTTTAAGAAAAAAGCCATTAATACTTTTTAAAAAATCATTAATGCTTTTTTCTCTCCCAAGAGCTAGCTTATTATAAACTTCGTACCCCTTCAGTTCTTCTTTTTTTATCCATAGCTTCTCTATAATATATTAATTGGGGCTAAATGAAACACCGCAGTCATTTCTGTGGTAATTATGCTAATAAATTCCTATCTAAGCAGTGAGTCTGCAGCAGCTGGAGTAAGGTTGTCATCTCTAATTAGTGATCTCTTTGGACTAAGATCTGCGGCCAAGTCCAGTACTCAGTCTAGAAGTCCAGACAATAAGAAAACTACTCTGGAATACTTGTGTTGTGGTGAATCGGGCTTAGGGATCCATTTTTGTTTTGATTTGGTTTGTTTCAGGTAGCTGACTCATTTCTTAGAAAGATACCCTGTATAGACCAGGCATGGTGGCACACACCTGTAACTCTAGCACTTGGGAGGCTCAGGCAAGAGGATTGCCATGAGTTCCAGGCCAACCTGGGCTATGCAGCAAGGTCCTGTCTCAAAAAAAAAAAAAAAAAGATATCCTGTTATAATTTAAATTTCCCCTTAATTTGTTATAAGCATTAATAATATTAATAAATTTGAATTTTGTGTGCTTTCATTCCCTTTTTCTTACTAAAATTGTGAACTGGGTATTAAATGTCTTCAAAGAGGCAGGGATAAAGAGCTAGGGTCAATTTAATAAAAACAAAAAATAAAGGTGCAAGCATCCTGGTTAATATAAAATTAAATAAATACTCAAATGCTCATGAGACTTGATGCTAATCATTGATGACCAGCTGGTAGTGACTGGCATAATTTCACTTTTTTCTATACAGAAGCATGGTAGCAAGAGAAGCATAAGCATTTCTCAAGATGTAAACAGAAATACATTCGTTTAAAGTCTAATTCATGCCAGGTGTGGTAGCGCAGGCCTGTAATCCCAGCACTCGGGAGGCTGAGGTAGGAGGATCACTTGGGCTACATATGTGAGTTCAAGGCAGCCTACACTACACAGTGAGACCCTGTCTCAAGAATAAAATAAGTAAAATAAAATAAAGTCTAACTCACATCTTCTCTCCCTAAAGGTGCACTTACAGAGTGCTACGATGAACTGGGGAATAGATATCAGCTTCCAGTCTATTGCTTGGCACCGCCAATCAACATGATAGAGGAAAAGAGTGACATAGAGACTCTGGATATTCCTGAGCCACCACCCAATTCTGGATATGAATCTCAGCTCCGTTTGCGCCTTTCCACTGGCAAAGACCTCAAACTTGTGGTACGCAGCACAGACACGGTATTCCACATGAAGAGACGGTTACATGCAGCAGAGGGAGTGGAACCTGGTAGTCAGCGGTGGTTCTTCTCCGGCAGACCTCTCACTGACAAAATGAAGCTGGAGGAGCTGAAGATCCCAAAGGACTATGTTGTTCAGGTTATAGTGAGCCAGCCTTTGCAGAATCCAACACCAGTTGAGAACTGAACTGGTCCATCTGCTGGTGCCCACATCGCTCTGCTCCTTTTTATTGTCATTTCCTACTCTATGGCGTGAAATTTATTTTCACTGCTCTAAATTCCCTATGAATGGATTTAGTTCTGAGGAATTACCAGTGAAAAATTCCATCTGTGATGGAGACCAACAAAAATAATAAAACAAAGAGCCAGCCTTTGAGACTCATGTAATTATGATTTCTAAATTGAGGCAGTTAAGAAATAGATAACCATGTATTTTAGAATACTCAACAACTACATAATAGCTGTATTTAAGTGATTTGGACTGTAAATGAAACATTGTACCCCTGAAAAACAGCACCAAGCACCTTTTGAATACAGAGGTTTTTTTAAAATATATATATATCAAATTATATAATTTCCAGAAACAGTTAGTAACCATTATAAAACTTTTTTTAAAAAATGGAATCTGTAAAGAGCAGGATTTGAAGTTGCTTCTATTTTAGTTTTTTATTCATAGCTCATTTCTTATTTAGTCCTAAAGGAATAATGACTGGCAAATTGTGTTTCAGTGTCCCTTTCCCCATTGTTACACATCAAACTCCTTACTTATAGTCACGTGAAATTTTGGTGCCTTCCTCACGTTAGTGGCAGGCAGCCTTCTGGAACACTGGGCAATAATTTAATCAATACAGTCAGATTTCTGATTTTCAACTGATAGGCAGTTGAAAATGCTCTTGTCCTCTTGCTGCATAAATGTTTTAAAATATATAGAGAAGCAGTTTTCATATTCAGGTTTAGAAGGTCGGTACTATATATGCCTTTATTGATTTATGTACTCTGCTTGGACCTTTTCATAGCTAACTCTGACCCAGATGCGTAGTTCCTGGGCCAGAAAACATAGGAATCTAGGACAACTGTTTCCACTACAAGATAACAAAATGATCTCTCTTCTCCACTTTGCAGGAGGGATATAAGGAAAACCCATTCTTTCTGTGCCTGTGAGAACTGTGCCTATTTTCCGTTTTATAGAGAAAATTTCAACTCAGAATTTATAAGTGTGAAAGGTTTACTGGTGTCACTTACTTATAGTCGTGGTAGATGACAGTTTTCCTCCCTCATCTCTTATAGCAAAGAAGCAGATTAAGAATCATTTGCAAATTAGGTTAGGGGATTAAAAATCCAGTGAGGGGGCTGGGGATTTAGCTCAGCGGCAAAAGCGCCTGCCTGACAAGCGCAAGGTCGTGAGTTCGGTTCCTGGTACCGGAGAAAAACCAAAAAAATAAATAAATAAATAAAAATCCAGTGAGATAATCTGATTCTTCAAAAAAAAAAAAAAATCTGATTCTTCTATACTTTGACTGGAGCAAATCTGCCAGGGAGGGATTATTGGATTCTCTATTGGATTCTCACTTATGGTTCCATAAGTGAGAAGAGGGCTAACGTGGCCACACCATACCCCTGAGAATGCAGGAGACTGAAAAGCAGAGGCAATAAGGCACTTAAGAATGCTATTCTCAGCTAGGAAATATCGAACCTCTACAACTATTTGGATGTGAAGCATCATTATTAATTTTAGCGAGAAAATGAAACTGCGAATTAGTTTAAATGTAACATTTAAAATGGCATTAAATTTCCTATAGTCTGATTAAATATATCTGTAACTGTACCTTATGTTTCTGAGAGCTTTAACTACTTCCCCAATTTTATTCACTCACCTTAAGGATTATAGCTACATCCAGTTTAGGTTTGCTGGTGACTGAATTGAAACTCAAGACAGCAGCATTAATTCCAAAGGAGAATTGTTATATTTAGAAGTGGACATGCAAAGGTATTTCAATATGTTAGCCCTGTCATCAAAAAGGTTTTGCTCATTTGTGTCCCACATCAAATAGCAGCATCTCTCAAAGTTTTTTCAACTGGAAAAAAGTGTTTAAACCTATTTTTCTTCAAGAAATTTGGTGATGTCATCAATAACACCTGGTTTATAAAAGGTCTTGTTTGTTCATTGAGGATTTGACGTCTCTTCAAGAGTTCATTTTATTTTAAAGGAACGTATACTTTAGCAATTCTCTGGGCATGTTTAACCTAGGTGAGAAACCGTGGTGCTGTTCAACTGTCAATAGACTGATACAAGATTGGACCAATATTGATTGTATAATTTCAGTATGTAGGGTTTTGTGTTTTCTAAAAAAAAAATGTTTGATTTTTCTCTTTGCCTTTGCCTTTATTCTGAATTTTTAACTTGCTCTCTGTGTAAGGGTAATTGGCCTCATTCTAATGGGAAGTATGAAGGTTTTCATCCTTTCTAAAATCTCAGCTAAATAAATGACAAGATCTTTATTACCAAAACTTAGGCTCTGCTATGCCCAATCATCCATGGTCATTTGTAGATATGTTTCATCTTCTGTATTTGAAATCTTACTTTAAAATAGATTTTTTTTTTTCCCCTTAAGAATCATGCTGCAGGGGCTGGGGATTTACCTCAGCGGCACAGAGCCTGCCTGGCAAGTGCAAGGTAGTGAGTTCGATTCCCAGTACCAGAAAACAAACGAACAAACAAAAGAGAATCATGCTGCAGACCAAAAAAAAGCACAATTAAGTTTTTCTCAAGCACTAAGGCACTTATCCATTTCAGGGTCAAATGGCAGGTTGGCGGGGTTGCAGGGGAGATGTTCAATCCCTGGCCCCTTTTTTATTTTATTTTGATACAGAGTCTTGCTGAGATACCCAAGTTGGTCTTAAAATTGCAGATCTTCTGGGCCCCACTAGTAGCTGGAATTACAAGTGGGTACCCTGCCAGTTTTTGTTCTGTTAAATTTTTATTTAAAATAGGTGATATATGCCCCTGAGAAAACATTCAAACATACCAAGTGGAAAGTCTCCCATCCATTCCTGTTCTTCATCTCCTATTCTCCCTAGAGGGAACAAGTATTACTGCTTTGCTGGGTAGCTTTTTATTTTATTTTATTTTATTTTTTATTTTACTTTATTTTATATTTTACTGTGCAGTGCTAGGGATTGAATGCAAGGCCTCAGACATGCTAGGTATGTGCTTTGCCACTGAGCTACATCTAGTTAGCTTTATAGATATTTTAGGCCAGACACAGTAGTATAGGCTTTAATTCTAGCTACTTAGGAGGCTGAGGAAGAAGGACGAAAAGTTTGTGGCCAGCCTGGGCGGCTTATGTCAATACCTTGTCTCAAAAAAAGTGCTGGGAATGCGGCTCAGCTATAGAGCATTTGTCTAGCATGTGTGAGGCCCCGGTTCAATTCCCAATATGGAAAAATATACCACAGTGGGTCTCAAAACTTGCACATGTGTCAGCCTCCCAACTTGATTGGGATTCTAAGTGTGTGCTGCCAGCCCAGCCTGACCCAGTTTTTTGATCTGTGGCATTCAGGTAAGTGAGAAACTTCATCCTGTGGTTTAACTTTGTGTTTGTCTTACAAGTGAAGCTTGACATTTTACTGTGTATTTTAAAGCTATTTGTATTTTTTTCTGTCTGTGAATTGTCTGTTTGCCCACATTCCTAATGCATTTTGTTCTTTTCTCTTTCCATAGTAAGGAAGTTAGACCTTTTCTGTCATGTGCTGTCATTGTTCTACATGTGTGTATTTAATTTGTCTTGCACAAATTTAAGTTTTTTATGATCACAACCATTACTGTCTTATGGCTTATGGGTATTCTTCCAGAGATTATCCCCATTCTGAGATTATATAAATCTTTCATGTTTTTAGTATTTCTTTTATGATTTCATTGTTACATGGAGTTATTTCTGTGAAAGAAATAAAATGACAGTCCAGATTTCTTTTTTCCAAGGTAGCTGTCCCACTTTTCCTGATACTCCTTTTTTTGTTTTGGTTTGTTTTTTTTGAGACAGGGTCTCACTATATAGTTCAGGGTGGCCGTGAACTCACTGTGTAGACCAGGCTGGCCTCAAACTCTCGGGTGCTGCGATTATAGGTATGCACCACCACGCTTGACTGATACTTGTTACTGAAGTCATTTTCACCCATCTTTTTCCCATTCATATGAGGTAGGAGGAAGCCCTTATTTTTATGACAGTTTTTAAAATATACTTTTTAAATGGTCTTTTCTTGTTAATGGGACAAATTAGCAGGTGTGCCTTGTGTCTGCTTCCCGCTGCCTAATACTGTGATTTAATATTTTACTTACCAAGAACAGAAAAAGAACACAGCTGACAATCACCCTTGCTACGGCCATTCTCGGGGATGTCAGTTTGAGTCTCTGATATGGGCTCTCTAACCTGTCATTCCTCTGATTCTGTAAATGCCTCTCAGGGGGGTGACTGTCTGTCTCTGAAGAAGTCAGCAAGGTTGATTTGGCCTTTTCTAGTCTTGGTCATCTAAGCCTTAGGATGGTGAGAAAATGTGAGGGCTAAGCAATGGTGGAAAAAATTGCTTTACTTAGCTCCCTCCAAAATCTCTTCCTCAGAGAAATGTGTTGTCACCCTGGGCGGAAACCATAGCTGAGTAAGCATCTCTGCCATCAGTCCTGCCTTTCACATCCCCTGCAGTGCTACCCCTTCCCCGTTGCCTGCATCCGAGAATACACATGTGACCAAGAAATTTCAGCACAACAATGGAAATTCAATGGGGTCGTGCAAACTTAAAGCATCTGCGCACACTGGGTCTGTGTGCTGGTGCACACTGAGGATGGACCCCAAGGCCTCAGCATGCTGAGCACCATCTCCAGCCCCTCTGTTTCCATGGAAACATTTTTAAAGTCATATAATGTGAATGAGGGGGGAAACCCTGAAGTGGACATTGATAGGCTGTTTTCTTTGTATTCCTAGTCCAAAGAAGTGTCACTTCACAGGTGTGTTTGAATTTTAGTTTTTACACTGTAGTTTGGGCCCCTTAGAGATAAGTGCTGTTTCCAGACCCCATTTTAGAAAAACACCCATTTTTATGAAGTTTGTAAGAGGTTTTGTTGGTTTTTTTTTTTTTGGGGGGGGGTCTTTGTTTCTTGTGGGTTTTTTTTTGGAAACAGAGACTCACTATGTAGTCTAGGCTGGTGTCAGACTTGCTAGGATTGGTCTTGAATTTGTAATCTTCCTGCCTCAGCCTCCTCAGTGATATGAAAATGCTTTTAAAAGAGATTTTTTTTAAATCAGATAACCAGTTCATGATGTCTATTATAGTCACCATGATTTCCAGAGGAGAGAGAGGAAAGCTTATAATATCTCCTTACTATCTTTGGCTCTCCCTCCCTCCCTGCTCTCATTCTGAAACAAAGGATACAGCATTTCGGTGCTTTAGTGCCTGTGTCTGAAAGAACAGATATGCTGTTGTTACCGTTTATGTATCTCAGGACCCTCCCTGGAAGATGGAAGAAGCTTTCCCTTGCAGTTTCTGACTCCAGAACCACGCCTAGATCATAAGGATATCTGGTGACAAAAGCCACTTAGGCCGTCACAAAAAGCAGCAGAAACCTATAGTAAAATGAGTTCAGGATGTGAGGCACTGCAGACCGAGGGCTAATGGCTAGCTGTTGCTTTCTGGCCAGACAGCGCCAGCCCCCATACTCTCTAGGTACAGTCGTGTCCTTGTGTTGGTCAGAGTACGATTTTTCCTTGGAGAACAGTTGCAAACTGTTCAAGCAGAAAAAGGGAAGAACACTGTTATGAGACATATTGAATCTTTCGGGTTTTCACAAGAATTCTAGCGAAATAACCATTATCCCTATGTGGAAAGCAGATCTGAGGTCAAGGGTCTCGGTGGGGTTTTTGCTAGTTTCACTCACTTTTTGTGGTACCGTTGTGGGGAAGAAAAGTTTGGCTGCCAATCACATTAGTCATGCTTATAAGCATGTTATCAAAACCCCATGTCTAATAGAGTAAATATGGAGAGGTATACACTATAATACGACTTCTATTACTGTAAGTTTGGCTTATGAATGACAGTCTTACATAAGCAGTCTTACTTATTTTTGCAGTCCTTGGGTCTGAGTCCAGGGCCTTCCATGCTGGGCAAAGTACTCCACCACTGACCTTTAGCCCCAGCCTTTTTAATTTTTATTTTGCTTTGAGACAGGGCCTTGCTAAGTTTACCAGGCTCACCTCCAACTTGCAGTCCTTCTGTTTCAGCCTCCCAAGGGGCTGAGGTTACAGATCTAGGCCACCGCACCAGGTGATGAACAGTGCCCTTGTCTGTTGCAGATGTTTCTGCAATATTAGGTGCTCTGGAACTCACTGAATGTTTAAGTCAGTTACATTACATAATGTACCCATAAATAAGTCGTTGATCTATAACAAATGACCTGTATTTCTTCAATTCCTAAATTTGTTCCTCAGAAATTTATGGTAGGAGATATGGCAATTACTATAAACCAAAATGAATTTCTGAGTGAGTCGGCTTTCAGCTTAAAACTTAAACAGAATCTGCTCAAACTCAAGTGAGTTAGACACCTGGCTGGAATCACAAGCGTGCTTAATTGACCTTGAACTTGAATCCTGCCTCCACCCTCGTAAGCAATATGTTCATGAATAAGATTCTTAATCTCTCTAGGCCTCAATTTCTTCATCTGTAAATTGAGGATAACAACACCTACCTGACAGGGTTGAGAAGAATTTGTGCATCAAAGTCACTGCCTAACACATAGCGAGCACATAATATATGTACTTATCATTATTACATCACAATACAATCAGAGAGGATTCACAAATCTTGTGCCAGAAATATTTAAGTACTCACAGCACTAATTATACAAGAATTAAAATTATGCAAGGGCATGTAATAATTATTTTACCATAGTAGGTTTGGTTCAGTTGCTTAAGTACCTAACTCATCAATGAGTAATTCAGACTCTAAGAAAACACTGACCTTAACTAGGTATCTGGTACACTCCTGTGGTCCTAGTTACCTGGGAGGCTGAAGCAGAAGGATCCCCGGAGCCCACAAGTTCAAGACCAGCCTGGGCAATGTGTAAGATCCCACCTCAGAAGAAAAAGAAAACAGTATATATTTAAAAATTGACTTCCCTCATGGTTGCAGCCATGTCAACACTGTCAGTGTGAAGTTGGTGTTAAGTGATCTTGCCTAAGAAATGGGCCACTAGAAAGGATTCTGAGTGTCAGATCACTGGTGACAAATACTAAGCCAGCTTCACCTGCCTGGCACCAGTGAGTGTCAGCAATTGTTGGACTGCACCAGCACCCAACGAGCAGGGCGGGTCAGAAAAGCAGCAGTAGAATTGGGTTCTATCAACAAAACCAAAGGCATTGCTTGGAGCTGAGGGCAGAGTTCAGCAGAAGGGCCCTTGCCCAGCAAGCCCGAGGCCTTTGGTTTCACTCATGCTGCCAAAAAGAACAAAAGCAGTTACTTTGCACCAGCGTTAGTTCTCTGTGATTAAAAGTAAGCACCTGTTACCTAGGGAGCGCTCATTTGGACCCTTTACATAAAAAAGTCAATGCAAAGATACCCACGTTGATGATGTTTATTTTTGAGCATATTAATCATCTACCAATTTTTTTATTCCAAAATCTTCTGATTACAGCAACTTGATACACTGTGTTCTTGATCTGAGATTTGAATTTCTTTCTCCTTTCCTGTTTCTCTGTCTCCCTTCTCTGCTTTTCCTTCAATTTGTCATTGGCAAAGATGGTATATATCTTAAATTCCTTGTAATTAAGACGCTTTTATTGGGGAGGGAAAAAAACAGAAAAATTCAAGAAAGATTTGATATGTGATAGATGACAATGGAACTGTAATCTTTACTTAGTGCCTTGGAATCAAGGCTGAATATCTTCCTCAGGTGATGCATTATTCTCAACTGTGACCCCCACTGGCTTCACCAACACAGACTTTCCCTTTACACAGGTAGAATCCGTCATCTTCACCCTAGCTTCTCTTAAGACTTAACTCACATTGTCCTGACATGGGGTTACTTCCTTTCTACTTAGTCAGATCTCTAAACCCTTCCCTTAATACCAGTTACTGCTGTATCATTATATGTCTTTCTTTAACCTTCTATAATTGTGTGTTCATGTTACAGGATGTAGCACTTAGTCTTCTTTTTTTTTTTTTTTTTTTTTTTGGTCTTGCTATACAGTTCAGGCTGGCTGTGAGCTCACTTTGTAGCCCAGGTGGGTCTGGAACTTGCAGTGATCCTCCTGCCTCAGCCTCCCAAGTGCTGGGATTACAAGCATGCACCACTATGGCCGCGCTAGTCTTCATATGCCTCCAGATTTTCTGTGATCATAGCTCCATGCAAATTGTTTCTCACCCTCCTCCTCACCCATCTCTACCACAGGTAATAGGATATTGTCTTCTGCTTTTTTTAAGAGGTTGCCATGCTACACTTTTGGATCTATACTTACACGTTCATCTGTCAAGCCAAAGCCATAGAAAAACTCTTTGAGATGCTCTTTTCTAATATTGAAGAGAAATCTGTACATGCGGAAGTTGGTTGGACCAATTCTCTGCTCCCCGTTTATGTCAAGCAGTCTAAAAACATGACGGGAATGGCAATACATAAATTGTTCTTCCAAGTTATTCTGTTTGGAGAGAAATGTGTGAGACAGGGAATACTATTGGTGCTGCATTCTAAACTTGTTACACCCAGACTTATATGGTCATCAGCCCATTTTCCATTCCCTAGAAAGCTATAATCACAGAAGCTCGGGTGAAAGGATTCAGCCATCAATGGGTAGAACCCTGCTTAAGTATCTGCATTCAGAGGGAACTGAGGTCCCCTGGGGTAATATGTTGTGCTAGACAGAACTGTTATTGCCATAATGCACTTCCTCATATCCATAAAGATCTTGTGAAAGGTTGTGATAAAATTGTGACCACACAAGGTCCTTTCCTCAAGGAGTGGAAACGTAAGTATAGACAAAGCCTGTGTGTGGCAAGGAGGAATGCAAAGGAGGCGTTTCCCATCCATTGTTCATCCCCTTCAGAACGTTTCTGAGCAAGAGGATCACAGAGAGAGTGAGGAACTTGAACTGACATGATTCTCTCCAAACCACCAGGCAGAACATGTGAGAAGGGCAGGCCAGGAACCGTCACCGCCAGGCAGATCAGATTTTTACAAGGAGAACATGGAAAGGATGAACATAGGTAGGGGCCGCAGCAGGGAGAGGCAGGGTAAATGTCGAACTTTGCCAACAGGATCCAAAATTAATCGCCCTCCCATTTTTTCCTTCTTGTCTGTAGCAAAAGGAAAAATTCTGATTCCTACTCAAGTGCTGACCCTAACATGATGGAGGCAGCAGCCAAGGCCTGCCTCCTGTGCCCCAGATCCTAACTCGGTACTTGCCTGGTGTGATAGCAGTATGCAAACCAACAAGTAGAACTCCTCGAAACCAATTTCACCCACAGCATTGTAGTCAAGCATGTCAAACACCATCCTGATCTGTCTGGATTTCAAGTTAGTCACGTAACTGAGGAAGTGATAGAACAGCACATCTGTGAAGGGAGTCAGAAGATGGATTATTCAGGAATAGTTCAAGATGCTGAGCAACCTTGAGCTCACTTTGTAGCCCAGGTGGGTCTGGAACTGGATGCCGCATAAATGGTAGTACTGTTGGAAGCTTGTTGACCTGGGATGAAAAATGCTATTTGTTTCTGGCTTCCCCACTGAACCTTCCACAGCTCCTTGCAACCTTAACTGCTTTTCCTTAAGCTGTGTGGGAAAGCACTGTCCCCAGGGCTGTGCAGAGTGAGACAGTGGTGAGGATATGGTTCCTGACCCTAGTACCTGCCCCATGGAGCAGACAGGGCTGCTTCTGTGTGGGATACAGGTTTAATACCCCTGGGGCCCTAGGACACTTTCTAGGAGATACTAACATTTTACCAGACCTTTTCCCTTGAGATAATTCAAAACATGAGGAACATAATCATCATTCCTCTTCTATAACAGTATCCACATTCCTCGTGCTTATATAAAGCAAATGTATTTGCCAGGAGGGAGACCGGAACAAACCTTATTGACCACTTCGTGTGTTCGGCCCTTTAAATGCCACATTTCATGAACCCTGACAACCTTACTGGAAAGGTGTCCTCATATCCCTCATTAGGCTCATGAACCAGGTGTGGTGGCACACGCCTGTAATCCCAGCAATCAGGAGGCTGAGGAGTTCAAGGCCAGCCTGTGCTACATAGTGAGAACCTGTCTCAAAAAAAAAAAAAAAAAAAAAAAAAAAAAAAAAAAACAAAAAACTGCTCACCAACCACTTGGGTGGCTTGTCAAACTACAACTTCCAATCAGGAAACCTTGCATGGGGTTGAGAGTCCACACTTCTTTCCTTTTTTAGTACATGTTTGCAATACATAATGATTACATTCATCAAGGGGAGTACAGGACACATACATCTTAATTCTTTTTTTCTTAATTCTTTTTTCATCCTTTCCACTCCTTTTGCATCTCCTTCCCTTTTGAGGAAGACCTATGGGCAAGTCCACATCTCTATAAGCTCCAAGGTGACTTGGCTCCTGCCTCTGCAGTATTCCAGGGTCACTTGCAGAGCAGACGTGGCTCCATCTGACTGCACAGCCTCACTCTTTCCACAGGGAGCCACATCTTTTCCATGTCAGTGAATGCATATTTGCATACATTCAGGGAAAAATTACGGTAAAGAACTGGGGAGGCTTCTGCCTGCCATTCCCCTCACTAACTGCTTGCCTCAGGACAGGATGGAGGAAACACAGATGGCTCGTTTCTGCACTGGTGTATGGTCTTCCTCGGGTGTATGTTCACACCCCAGGGTATCTTGGAGTTTTCAGAGTAATTTTGCGAATGATTTCCCCCAGCCTATTGATTATAGAAACTATTTCTTGACTCCACTGAAAATGTAAAACACATCTATGGAGTCCCAGCTGAAGCTATCTTAGAGTGCAGTGAACCAATTCATAATGTCAAGATGTGGGGACTTCTGGTGGCCTTTTGATGTTATTTCTCATACCCTACCGGGTCTGAGCACCTGGGACCAGCACACCACACACACACACACAGTTGCATGGGGAATTGCTCCATGAGAAATTTCTTAGGGGAGACCTGGTAGCTACTTAATAAATGGTACTTTGAAACCACCTGACCCTTACCCACTCAAGTCTCCAAGACCTGAAGTCACCCCACTCTCAAGGCAAACCTTAAAGTCGCATCTTCACTAGTTTTAGGTCAGTATCACATCCCTTGGTGACCAAAAACATGAGCGTGACTTTCCTCTATGGCATTGCATCATGAGGGAGTGATTTTGTTACTAGGGAGATGGGATCTGAATAAGCATTCCCCTGAGACGAAGAGCAAGGGCTCGGAGTCAGTGAGCCCTGGGCACAAGCTCGGTGGTATCCTGCAGCTGCCTTACCTGTGGCAGGCTGATGGGGGACACAGGCAGTGCATGGGGCACACAAAAAATGTGGTCTGCAATTGTGAGAAAGGGGGGTGCACTTTTGATTTTACTCTTTTGGGGTGTGTGTGTGTTGGGGATGGAACCTAAGGCTTTCTGCTTAGCTACACCACTAACCCCTGGGCTCCATTAGTATTTCCAGATGAGGAAGTGGAGACTTAAAGAGGATGATGCTGTTTTCTCCAGATGAAGAGTCGTGACAGAACCTGGATTTACCCCAGAGCCTGAAGTTTTACCTTCCCTACTGAGCTGCCGGCTCTCGGTTGGCAGTCTCTCTCTGTGCTTCATCTGGAAGATAAATACTTGTGGCTGAACGTGGTGGCATGTGCCTGTAACCGCAGCTACTCAGAGCCTGAGACAAGAGGATCGTAAGTGCCAAGTTAGTTCCAGTGACCCTCCTCACAAAATGAGGGGGCGGTGCTTTGGATACGGAGGACCTTCACAGTGAGGTATATTCTCAGGCCTTTTTTTTTTTTTTTTTTTAATTTTGAGACAGGGTGTCACTAAGTCATTGTTACCCAGGCTAGACTCAAATTTATGATCCTCCCACCCCAGCCTCCAGGGTGCTGGGATTCCTGGTATGTGATACCACGCCTGGTTTTCAAAATTAAAAAGAAGAAAAGAAAATATATATAGAGAGAGGGTGTGTGCTGGGGGTGAGCTAGGTGTGGTAGCACATACCTGTAATCCTAGCACTCATTAGGTTGAGGCAGGAGGATCACCATGAGTTTGAAGCCAGCCTGGACTACACAGAGACTGTCTCAAAAAAAAAAAAAAAAAAAAAGGATTGGGAGTGTAGAGGGAGGGGTAAGTAGGGCACTTGCTTAGCACGCTCAAGGCCCTGGGTTCAATACCCGGTACTATACATAAGTACATAAATATTTGTTAGCTAAGCAGTGTCTAGTTCTACAGGTTTTCCTATGCATTTGTTATCAGTCAGACACTAACTCCAAGGAAACACGTGGGGAAGTACTGACCGTTTAAGGTGTTTTGGTGGTGTACATCAAGAAGATGAAAATATTCCAACAAGGCCTTCACATTTCTTGCAGATAATAAGCAGTATATTTTGTCCAGATAGAGGTACCACAGGAAGGACGCTTCCTTCACTTTCATCTCAGTACACTTTAACCAGGTGCTCTGACAACCTGCAATAGAACAGAGAATTCTACCTTGGAACTAGAATGTTGGACAAAGTATCTGAGAAGATCCAACAGGAGTAGAGGTACAATAGTCAGAGGAAACTGTCAGTGCCACAGGGAAAGTGCTCCCTCTCCCCCTAGTTCTCCAGCTTTGCTGTCTGTAGATTGTCTGTCACTGAAACAATGCTTCAAAACAAAATCACAGACTGCTTAGAAGTGAACAAAGGGCATCTGCTGCATAGGGAAATTTTGTGGTGCAGCCAAAGTGGTTTTCAGAGTATTTATAATCCAAATGCATTTATTAGACAAGACAAAAATAGGAAAATACAAAAGCAGTAAAGAAAAAAAATCCTAGCATAAGTACAGTAAAATAAAGCCAAACAGAAGAAATTTTTTTAAAAGATCAAAGTGAAAATCAATGAGTCTGCAAAGCAGTAAACTTGATTAGAATAACTAAGACTTTTATTTTTTTATAGTGTAATATTTCAAACATACTGAAAGGTAGATTAGTAAAGCTTCACATATTCATCAAGCTGAACAATTATCAACTCTGAAACAATCTTGCCTTACTTATATTCACTCCCCTCTGCCATATCACTGGATTATCTTGAAGTAAGTCCCAGACGAAACAGCTCATCTGTAAATACTCAAATATATATTTCAAAAAGCAAATGACTTTTTGGTGCTGGTACTAGGGGTTGAACACAGGGCCTTCACTGTATTCAGCTGCATCCTCACCCATTTACTCTATTTTTCATTATGAGACAAGAGCTGCTAAACTACCCAGACAGGGATTAGACTTATGATCCTCCTACCTCAGCCTTCCATAGTGCTGGGATTACAGTTATGCTCTGTAATGAAAAGCCCATGATACCTGGGCTTTTTGTTGTTGTTGTTGTTTTTTGGTTTTTTCTCCGGTACTGGGAACTGAACTCACGACCTTGCACATGCCAGGCAGGCGCTTTTGCCGCTGAGCTAAATCCCCAGCCCTTTTGTTTTTTTTTTTTTTTTTTGGTTTTTCTCCGGTACCGGGAACCGAACTCACGACCTTGCACTTGCCGGGCAGGCGCTTTGCCACTGAGCTAAATTCCCAGCCCCTTGTTGTTGTTGTTTTTGAGACAATGTCTCCCTGCGTAGTCCATGCTGGCTTTGAACTTACTGTGTGCCCTCGTCTGTCCTCAAACCCATGATATTCCTACCATAGTTTACCTCCTGTGTACTGGGATTATAGGCATGTGCCATCGCGCCTAGCTGATAATTTTTTTAAGGTCACCACTTATCATTATCAGACTAAAGATAAATAATAATAATTCCTAAAAGTCACCAAATAATCAGTATTCAACTTTTCCTAGTTGTTTCTTAAAAGTCATAATAGATGGTTAGTTGAAGTCAGGCACCCAGCAGATATTTATTGTTTATAGTGTTTCTTAAATTTCTTTAGTTTTCTCCTTTCTTTTTCATACAATTTATTTGTCAAAGAATTCCAATTGTCATGTAGATGAAAACATTCTGGGTTTTCCAGATTTATCTGCAATATGTTAGCATGTTCTTCTGTCTCTTGTATTTTCTGTAAGCCAGTAGTTAGATCTAGAACAAATCTAGCTTTAGGAAATATCAATAAAAACAGACAAACTGGCCAGATACAATAGTACACACCTGTAATCCCAGGTTCTAAAGAAGCTATGGAGGATTGCACCTTCCAGGCTGATCTAGGCAAATTAATGAGATAGATTAGATAGATAGATAGATAGATAGACAGACAGATGGGGTTGTAGCTCAGTGTAAGTCCCTAAGTTCAATCCCTAGTACTGTGAAAACAAGAACCACAACAAAACAGGCAGGGGCTGGGGATTTAGCTCAGCGGCACAGCACCTGCCTGGCAAGCGTGAGGTTGTGAGTTTGATTCCTGGTACTGGGAAAAAAAAAAAAAAAAACAAGACAGGCAAACTTTTGCAAATGTCATGAAGGGAAAATTTTTTAAAATTAAGGATGGAAGAGTAAACACAACTAATGTTATGAAAGACATTAAAGTACATGGAAAAATACTGGGTAAGCCAATAGGCCCACACCTGCTGCACAACATGACCATCCACCAACTCCAAACAAGCTCTGCATTTTGCTTCCCCTTGGCATGGGGCAGCAAAGGTGCAGAGTAACCAAGTGACCTGGTCCTGGACAAGGACAGTGCTCAGGGAGAGGAGGAAAGCCTGGAGAACCAGCAGTCCCAAGGAGAAAGTATGGACCTTGCTAGGCACCTCAGAGACTCTAGTCTTACCGTCCCACAGTGACTGGAAAGGGGCAATCACTAGAGATCCCTGCAGAGAGGGAGTGGGCCAGACATAGGCACCTCTGAGAAGCATAAGCTTATGCTGGGATGACACAGGCCTGCCCTCTGCAGGGAATAACCAGATCCCGTGAGTATCAACATGAAGTCCCACAGTTCAGCTGAATCCCCACCCCCAGCCTACAACTAGTAGAGACCTGAGGGTAGATGCCTTTCTCATTTACTGATGTGAGCAAGGACACATCTTGGCTTGGAGGGAAGCCCCAGTCTAGAGAAAATGCAAAGAGAGGCCTTGGGTGCATGGAGGGCACCTCAAAAATCCACAGGCCCAGGGGCTGGAGGTTTAGCTCAGTGGCACAGCACCTGCCTGGCAAGCGCAAGGTTGTGAGTTCGATTCCCGGTAACGGAAAAAAAAAAATCCACAGGCCCTAAATCTAGGTGGAGAAAATTGCTACTTGGCTGTATTCTAAAACTGCAGAGTCTGAAAATAAATCACTTATTTAAAAACACAGAGGAATTTTTTTTTTTTTCCTCAACTCAATCTTGTTCCTATTTTTTAAATTATTTTTCTTTTCTTCATTGGGTTTTCAGGGCTTGGAGGGTTCCCCCCCCCTTTTTCCCTTTTAGTTTATTTTCTTTTTCTCTTTTCCTCTTTCAATCTTTTTCTTTTTATCTTTTATTTCCTGTATTTTGTTGTTTTTCTTCTTTTTCTTATTTGCTCTTTCCTGTGACTGTTTTCTAACACTATTAATTTCCTCTTACTCATCAATAGGACCCCTATTTCACTTTTCTCTCCTCCTCACATCCCACTGATGAATTAAAAAAATTTTTTTAACTTTTTTTTTTTGTTTTTTGGAGGTAGGGTTTCACTAGGCCATTCGGGCTGGTCTTGAACTCACTTTGTAGCCCAGGCTGGCTTCGATCTCACAGTGATCATCCTGCCTCAGCCTCCCAAGTGCTGGGATCAGGTGTGCTACCATGCCCAGCTATAATTTTTAAAATCTTACTGTTTTATTGGGTTTGTAATCCCAAGCCCAGGAAGGTTGAGGCAGGAAGACTGCAGCAAGTTCAAGGCCAGCCTGGGCTACATAGTGAGTTCAAGGCCAGCCTATACTAGATATGCAGACACCCTGTCTCAAAACAAACAACAAAAATTTTTACTTTTTTCATCCTCCAGTTCTCCACCCCCTCTACCTATACTAATATAACTACTAAGCTGTACAAATCTCTAGATAGCTAAATTTATGCTGCTGTATTGAATACTGTTCTATTGTTAGTAGAGGTAAGGTTGTTCCAGTTAACTGATATTTACTCTAGGTCAACAGTAAGTCAAACTGGGTCATCTTAGTGTTCATACTGTAACAATCATAAATCTGTTTTCTGTGGTTAAGAGTGGTACATTATTGGTCCTTAGGGTTTGTCAAAATTCAGTTTGTCCAGTGCTATAATTGATGCTGATTTTATTACTCTAGCCAAGATGACACAGTTGTTACTATTAATCAGTTTCCTTGGAATTCCAATCTCTGGTTGCCTTGGGGTCATTAAGAATAATGAGGCTCATTCCTGGAGAACTGAGTACTGAGCCAAACATGCTGCACCTCCCATCCCAAGTCAGCGGAGGTGGCTGGATCCTGGGACAGAGGCAAAGGCCAGCAGTTAGCCATGCCCAGAAGCCACCGCTGACAAGTAGACATTAAGGAAAGAGGTCTGCATACTAACAACCAAGCTTTCGCAAAAAGCAACCCACAGCCTCGACTTAGAACAAACAAACAAAAACAGAAACTTGAGAAGACAGGGCAATAAAATGCCTCCCAAAACTCCCACCTCCCCTAAAGCTGGCCCAGGAGGCATCAAAGAGGAACAAACCAAGAGCCACATGGCCAAATTATTTACGATTGTATCAGAGGCAATAACAAAACAGATCAATAAGGCACTTGGCAAACTTGAATAAGATATAAGTAAACTGATACTGGGCCAAAGAAATAAAATGATCATGGAATCTACAGAAGACACTAATAAAAGATAGCAGAGCTACGCAAAACATGAGTGACCAGCACGGAAAAGAATGAGAGTCCATAAAAAGGTTCCAAATAGAAATTCAGGAGAGTAAGCACCACTGAAAGAATGGGCGGCAGAAGCGAGCAGGAGTCAAACAGCAACAAATGTGGGCAAGGCCGCCAGGCAAAGCAGCCGGTCTGCAGAAATGACAGGAACGCAGACCGCTGCCGCCACTACGCAAGTCAGTCTGGAGACCCTCAGAAAACCGAGCATAGAATCTCATTATTCACCATCTAGGCATCTTCCTGAAAAAGTTAACGACATCATACTATAGCAATACCGGCATATCCATGTTTATAGCAGCACAATTCATAATAGATAAATCTTGGAAGCAGTGTATACAGCCATCAACAAATGAACGGATAGTACTGCCAGGGGTGGAGGCACACGCCTGCAATCCTAGCGCTCAGGAAGCTGAGGCAGGAGGATCATTGTCAGTTTGAGACCCACCTGGGCTACAAAGTGAGCTCCAGTCCAGCCTGAACTGGATAGTGTGACCCTGTCTCAAAAAAACAAAAAAAAAAAAAAAAAAAAAAAAAAAGAAAAGAAAATGTAATGTTTATACACAATGGAGTACTACTCTGGCAGGATAAACTTAAACAATTTGTAGGAAAATGGATGTACCTTGAGATCATAACATGTAGTGAAATAAATCAGACACACGTTTAAATATCACATGATTCTTCTATATGAGAAAACCAAATTACAACTAAAGAGCAAAGTAAAAGATAAGATACTAGGAAGTAGGGAAATAGATCTTTCTCCAATGGGAAAGGAATCAAGAGATGGAGGGAGAGAAGAGGGAGGGGGTAGGAAAACAGGATGAAAAAATAATTAGGATTATTATGTACATGTACCAACTCCACACAAGGGATAGTGAGGCTGTGGGGATAAACTTCCTCACTAAAACCCAAAGACTAGGGATAAAATCATTGGCAGCTCTGAAGAAGGAATGAGGTAGAAGCCCAGAGAGTAACTGGGTTTCATTAAGGTGGTGTTTAGAGATGGTGGTGAATAAAAGCAACCCAGGGGGGCTGGGGATTTAGCTCAGCGGCAAAAAGCGCCTGCCTGGCAAGCGCAAGGTCGTGAGTTCGGTTTCCGGTACCGGAGAAAAACCAAAAAATAAAAAATAAAAGCAACCCAGAACACTCACTGAGCTGTGACTCGCAGTGTTACCTCTCCATGCTTGGGTAAACCAGAAATATGCTCCCCTGCTCCTGCCCCCAGGAAACAGTGACAAAAGCTGCCGTAGTAGTGAGCAGAATGGCAAAAGGAAAGAAAAATAATTTCTGAGAAGTTGGAAGTAGGGCCTTGCGTGTCTGCATTCCCAAAACATCTGGATGGGCCAAGAACATCAAGCCCTGGATATGAAGTTGCATAGATCGGAACAGATAGTATCCCTTAGGCACCCGGTAGAGCAAACATTTTTCCTTTCTGAAGGATCACACCCTTACTCAGGCTCAAAGAAATCCCAGAAATAACTTTCCAAGGATGTGAAATGCACAAGAAAAAAAAAAAAAAAAAAACACCGCGGGGACAAAGCAGCAGACACAACAGACACCAGAAACAGGACAGTGAACTTCAGATACTGGAATTACCAGGCACAGATCATGAAATAATTAGTAGTAAAAAGATATACCCTACTTTTTCTTTTCTAAGTGCTGGGGATTAAGTTTAGGGGCTCACACACGCTAGCATTTTACCACTGAGCTACATCTCAGCCCTGCTTCATTCTTTTTGTTTTGTACTGGGAATCGAACTCAGGACCTTGTGCTTGCCAGGCGTGCTCTATACCACTGAGCTAAATCCCCAGCCCCCTACTTCATTTTTAACAGATTCATATACCCTGCAATCATTTTCAAGTATGCTTTGGAGCAGGGATCTCACTACAGGTAGATAGTGTCAGAACTGAATTGTAAGACACCCAGTTTGGCCGTGCAAAGAACTGGAGAACTGTTTGTGTAAGGAGAACTCGCACATCTGTGGTGGCCAGAAGTGCACTGGTGAATGTTGTAAGAATACAGAAGGGAACTGCACTCTCACTAGAATGGCTAAAATTAAAAAGACCAATGATATCAGTGTGATCGGAGCTGCCAGGGAACCCATGTATCACTTGCAGAAATGCAAACTAATGCAACTACTTTGTAAAGCAGTCAGGCAGTTTCTGAGAAAGATAACCATGCAATGTACATTTCACATGGGACTCAGCAACTGAGCTCCTAGGGACACCCAGAAAAGTGAAAATAGATCTGTAAAGGAAAAGAAGTAAGTTTTTCTTCATCTATCACTAAGTTCATAGTAAGATACCTATAACAAAAGACAGTAATGAGAATAACATATGGAATAGTTTTTACATGATAAGACTCTTCACAAAGAAATGCCAGGTATGGTGGCTCGTGCCTGTAACCCCAGCTCTCAGGAGGCTGAAGCAGGAGGATTGCTTCTAGTTCGAGGCCATCTTGGGCTACCTAGTGCAAGGCCAGCTTGCTATGTAGTGAGACCCTGACTCAAAAAACAAAAATAAAACAAACAAAAAAGAAATGAAGACCTTAAAAAGAGGTAAAATTGTGAGTTTTTATGCCTGGGGAAGAGTGGATAGTTGTACAGCAACAAGACTGGCGGATGACAAGGCATGACCCAATGAAACAGCATAAATGCAGCACCTTAGCGGAGCTGTTTGTTCAGTGCTTCTAGGCATCTCTTTGTCTTCAGCTCCATCCTTTGGGCACGGGGAAGACACCCGTCGAATGAGAGTCTTACGACATGCTGCTTTGGAGATGGGGGAAGGTGAGAGTGATTTTTTCCTTGTGCTATTTTCCTGAATGCCAAGGAGCCCTCTTGGGGAGTAGCATGTCCTGAACTCCATCAAATGTTCACAGAAGCTTTCTTCACACTAACCAAAGACTGAAACAGCATAAATGCCCATAACTAACAACTTATGATGCGATATCCACATAACGGAATATGACCTAGCAGTGAAAAAGAACGAGCCATGAATAATTCAACAACGTGACATATCTCAAAAACAGGATAAATAAAAGAAGCCAGACGTGGACCGGGGATGTAGCTCAGTAGTCAAGTACTTGAAGGAAGGCCCCAAAACAAACTTCAAACAAACAAGCAAGTAAGTAAACACAAACAGGCCAGCCATGAAAGAGCACATGCAGTATGATTCCATTTACATGATGAAATAGACGGGATAATTCCAATACATGGTGACAGAAGACAGATCCCCGGTGTTAAGGAATGGGAATGGGGGTTACCTGGAAAGGGGTATAAGGGAATTTCGAGGAGGATGGGAAAGTGTTACTTCGCCTGTGGTGACAACAGAGACTTGTCCAGGCTCATCGACACAATGCTTCAAATGGACACACTTTTATTGAGAGTAAATTAAACCTCAAAGAAGTTGATTTTTTTTTTTTTTTTTTGTCTTTTTGAGACAGGATTTCAGTAGGTAGTTTGGGCTGGCCTTGAACTCACTTTGGCCTCTAACTCATAGTGATCCTCCTGCCTCAGCCTCCTGAGTGCTGGGATTATAGGCATGTGCCATCATGCCCTGCCCAACAAGATATTATTTTAAAAATTTCTGTAATAGAAAAGGGAGCCAGGAAGCCAGCCAGGGGCCCACGCACTAACCCAGCAATAAAAGGCTGAAGCAGGAGGATCATAAATTTGAATCCAGTCTGGACCACATTGTGTGTCCATCTCAAAAAACAAAACAAATACAGGGAATGAAATAGAAAAATGGGCAGAGAAGCTGAAATCCAAATGTCTAACAAAACTCAGAAGACACGCCCAAATGTATTAGTAATTAAAGACGTAAATTAAAACATTTATCAATCTTACTAGGTAGGAATAGAGCTTTTCTGTCTTAAATTGTTTCTCAAAACAAACAAAAAAACCCCTTAAAGAACAAAAAATCTCTAATTTCCTTTGCTCATCACTAGGTTCATGGTGAGGTTGTTTAGGGCAAGCGTACTAATTTATGTAACGTGAGTTATTAGTTGTTTCAGAGCAGTGGCTTTGTTTCTGCTGAACTTCTCTTTTTTCTTACAACGTGTTGTGATTTGTTTTGCTATGGTGCTGGGGATGAAACCCAGCACCTTCACACTGAGATACACCCCCAGCCCTTTTTATTTTGGCTCAGGGTGTTGTTAAGTTGCTTAGGCTGTCCCTCGAAATCGGTGGCCTCCTGTTTCAGCCTCCCATGTCCGCAATAAGGAATGGAATCTGTTTATTTATTTATTTATTATTTTTGTGATACTGGGAATGAATCCAGGGCCTTACACACCTCAGGCAATCACTACCACTGGGCCACCCTGTCTGCCATAGTTTACAACATTTTTTTGTTTGTTTATTTGTTTTGGTCTTTTTGAGACAGGGTCTCACTATGCAGTTCAGGCTGGGCTCCAGCTCCAAAAGATCCTCCTGCCTCAGCCTCCCAAGTGCTGGGATTAAGGTGTGCACCACCACGCCCAGCACAACTTCTTTTTTGTTTTGGAGGCATAATTTACATATTATAAAGTTCATTCGTTTACAGAAATACACGTTGCAATTCAGCGATCGGGTGGATTTACTGAGTTGTGAAATCATCCCTGAGGCACAGGTTCAGAACCTTTTCATCTTTCCACTAAGATTCCTCAGTGTCCATTTACAGTTAATCTCCGCTTCGCACCAGCCCCAGAAAAGCTTTCGCCTCCTTGACGTCTTTGCCTTTTCTAGACATTTCGTTATAAATAAAATCATAGGTCGTGTGGTCTTTCGGGTCTGGCTTCTTTCACGTAGCACAGTCCGTTTGCATGATTCATTTTATTTTTTTCTGTTAGGGCTGGTCAGAGCCACCTCCTCTACATGGCTCGCAGGGTAGAAGCAAGGGAAGGACCTACCTTTCCCCTTGCTCAGGGCTCACTCCCTGAGCGCAGTCTGCCGAGGCATTTCCTTCTTGCAGTGATAAAGACCCTGAAGCATCCCAAGCACGCGTTCCGTGCTGAGAACAGTGCAAACCTCCAGCCGAGGCGCCCTTTGCACGGACCTCCACCGCACTGCAGGCGGACTGGGCAGGCTTTCCCAACGTTAAACCACACTCAGTGCCCGTACGCCGCGCAGGGGATGCTTTCGAGCAACGTATTGAGAAAGGGGAGAAAACCTCTCAGCGTCGACGTTTTCCATGTTCCGTAGGTGCAGGGACTGCAGTGTGACATTCGCTTTCCATACCTGGGCTTGCAGGCTGACCCCCATCCCCCAGGACAGTAGATCAAGCAAAAGCATGCACAATCCGTCTACACAAGCAAAGAACAGTAACAGTGAAGTGAGTCAAACCGCCTGGCTCGAGGATAAAGGTTGTCAAAGAAGTCTTTAGTTTTATCTCTAATGCGCTCATCTTTTATTTCAATTGGGAAATAAATCAGAAAGTTTTAACTTAATTTGAACTATTTCTGCTAACCCATCCTGAAGCAAGAGCTAATAGGTCCCAAAGGAGCTCATCTTTCCAGCCTTGGAATCCTGCTGGGCAGGTGTGGGGATCGCGGGCTTGCGGGGAACCGGGAAGCGGGAAACAGCCGGCCACCGGGCCCCTGGGGACCGACTGCGGCTGCCAGGGAGCGGCGTTTTGCGCACTAGGAGGCAGCACCGCGCCGAGAAGCCCGCAGCGGACTGGCAGCCACGATGTGTTCCCCGGGGCGCGCGCTCGCCCGCCGGCGTCCCCGCCTGAACAGTGGGGGGAGCAGGACTGGCCGGCAGGGTGGCTGTGGGGTGGTTTCCATGCGCTACTGCAGGTTCGCCTTTTTGGCACCACCGAGATCTGGGGGCGCGCGCAAAACGCCCACTCGCTGTCCCTGGAGCTCCCATAACAGTTTTGAGAGCCACGCGGCGCAGCCGACTCCCCCAGAACCGGGCGGTCCCTCAGGCTCCGGCTCTTAAGCCCAGGGGGTGGGAGGGGGGTGTGAGGTGCACGGGGACTACAGTTTCCAGAGTGCCCTGCGGCGACGGGCGGAGCCGGGGAGCGCCCGCAGCCAATTAGGGGGTCTCGGGGCACTGCCCGGGAGCTGCAGGTGGAGCCG